ACTATCATTCATATTTATAACTTCATTTATTTCTTTGAAATCTACCCATATATCATTTATGCATAACTTTCTATTTTCATAATCTAATTTAGCTTTGTATTTGTTTAAATAGTCTGATCCTAAGACAATGTCCATGGTCAGGTTAGGTACTATTAAAAGTTGAAATACTAATTTGTGATTATTTAATTCTAAAGTAATATCTAGCATTTTGTTGACATCATACAGTTTTTTATTATTAGGACCTACTAATGTTAATCTATTTACTTTAATTATGTGTTGATTTAAATTTTGAAATTTTTCTACTATGCTTTGACTTATTAATGACGCTTCAGAACCTGTATCAAGTAGTATATTTAAATTGGAATTTTGAAATTTGGAATTTACATAAATTAAATTGTTATTTTGATTTATTATTACGTTTTCATCTAATGTTATAAATTCTCGGGGATGCATATAATAACACTTATATAATTTAATGACTTTGTCTGGCTTGCATTTTACTGAAAATTTTAAGGATCGTTTGTACTTTGTCTTACTGATTCCCTGTCAAACGATCTGGATCTCTGTGTTTCAACCCTACCATCTTCATTTCTGGATAATTCAGCTCGTTCTTCTGATCTGCTAGGACTTCGTCGTCTCTGAAAATTAACTTACCTTCGAGGCTGTACATCTTCTTCCCCTCTCGATGATTGATATTGATTGCGCCGTGTATTGTTGTATTTATTTTGTCGAAAACCATGGTTGAAATTATTATTATAATTGTTAAAATTTCTGTTTTTGTTAGCATGATCATTTTGAGTACGTTGATTATTGTAATTATTACCAAAATTGTTAGTATTGCTATATCGATTGTTGAAACTATTATTATTATCTCGAAAATTATTATTAAAATTGCCATTATTTTGATTATAGTGATTATTTTGCCGAAAATTATTGTGGTTTCTATTATTATTAAAATTGTTTTGATATCTATCATTTTGTCTTGTAAAATTTCTGAAACTATTTCCCTGATGGTTACATGAATTTTGAAAATTGTTACGATTCATATTACTGGAATTTTGATAATTACTAGGCATATTTCTTTCTACTCTAGTCAAATATGCTCCATTGTTTTTATGTTGTGCATTGCGATGGTTTCTGCTATCTCTTGTTTAAACTGTCGAGAAATATACAATACCAAATCTTGTTCATTTATTTTTGGTGTTAAATACTGAGCTAGCGAGTATAGTCTAAGTGCATAGTTAGTGAGACTGTTGGATATGTGTGGATTAAACTTTCCAAAATATAATCGTTCTCTTACCATCAATTGTGCATCATCGCCTCAAAACTGTTGTAGGAATCGATTTCTTAATTGTTCATAATCTTCAACATCATTTTCTATGCCATTGAATCATATCAGTGCTTCTGCTTCTAAGTTTTCTCTCATAATTTCCTTTATTCTCTCCAGTTTAGTTTCTTCATCTATTCTTCCTTCTTCTATTTCTTTAATTCTCTGGTTGATAGATTTTATAAATACCATTGGGTGTAGATTGCTTATGTTCCCTGTAAATTTATGAATTTTTCTGTCTTATGGACAAATCCATCTTGTAACCATTTCACCTTCTCGTCCTTTCAATTCTCTTACTCTTTCAACTTATTTTTGGAGCTCTTCTATTTGTTCTTTTGTTCTTCTTCTTTCCACTTCCATCTCGTTTCTATTCCCACTTACTCTATCTTCCACCTGTCGTTTCACTTGTTCAATGTTGTGAGTATTCTTCGACACGTTTCTTCCAATAGTGCTCATTTCAGCTACCATTGCTATCTCCTGTTCTGTCTTTTCAATATCTCCTTTTAAATCTTGTTTCCATGTTTGTGTTTCCCGTCGAATTTCTTCCTTGATGGATTGTACTTTTTTTTCTATTACTTTTACCATTATTTCCATATCTTCTTTTCTTCCTTGTTCAAATATTTTTAAATCTTCTTTTCTTTCTTGTTCCAATTTATGTAAATCTTCTTTTCTTCCTTCTCCTAATTTTTGTAAATCTTCTTTTCTACCTTGTTTTATTGTTTCCTCCAGTCTTCTTCTATCCTCCTCTTGCCTTTTTCTATCTTCTTCTATGGTTTTCATCATATCTTCTAACATATTTTGTATTGCCGATTTTCTTCCTCTTCCTGTCATTGGTCCTGGTTCCATTGTCGTTTCTTGCTCTGATAGAGACTCACTTGATTCTTCTCCAGTTTGTTTTCCACTTCTAAGATCCATTTCTCTAGTTTTATTATTGCCTTTTCTTTTTCTTCTAGCCTTTTCTTTTCTTCTAGCCTTTTTTTTCTTCTAGCCCCACGTTGGACGACAATATTGTTATGGTATTATGTGTGGATGCGTGTTTGTGTAAGCGCCAACAAAATTTTTTATTGTGATATAAATTTGTTTTTTTTGTGTACTGGTGGTTGTCTACCTTTGCCCTACCTAGCTCTAGACTCCTCTCAGTAGTCGGTTCTATTCACGATGTGATTCAGCAAGAAACCACACACAGTCACAACTATAAATACAAAAGGTTATTAATAAATGAATTTATTATTGTTTTGTTATATATGTTAAAAATTGTCAATAAGAAATGTTGAACACAATAGTAAATATTTTGAAGTATTTTACACTATTTCCAAAACGTTAAACAAGATGTTATATCGATGCGACTGCTATACTTAAATTTCATGTATGACTGGTTGCATACATTAATAAATTAACATTTTAACTTATAACTTCTTGTTTAATAAATGGTTATTTATTTCTAAGATTAATATTGATAATTTTACAAAGATTGGCCAATTTTGATTATGTTTGATATTGTTAAATAACTTTGTTTAATATGAAATTTGTGACTCTCTAAACTTTTTATATACTACCTTTTTACTTTTGAATATCTGTATCAAACTATTTCGTATACGAATTTTACCTTGTTTTTATTTGTGTACAAAGTATCAATGGAAAATAAAGGTACCTTTTATACGTATTATCGATAATGACTTGTCGACTGATTTCTCTCCTTCACTCTGCTTGATTGTTTTCCTTTAATTCTTGTCTTTCCTATCCCGCTTAATTTCAGGAACCTGTTCCCTGCTACTGCTATTCTGTTTTCTTACTGGTCTCCTGGATCCTACTACTGATATTCCTCGTTCTTTCTGTCTTCCTGGACCTTGTTTGTTGGTACTCTGCTTGTATTGTATTTTCTTGGGTCACTTTTTCACCACTTGGTACTTTTATATTCTTGATTTCTCCCAATTGGATCTTTTTATACTCTCTTGCTCATTGACTATTTATATTTTCTATGGATTTTCTTTTCTTTCTTCAACACCTGTCGTTTTATCAAAATTTTTCTGTAACTCATCAATAATATCTAATTTCTTTTCTATTTTTACTATCTTGATTTTTCTTTCCCTTGTAAAGGCCTTTCCACATATCTTTTTTTTAACGTGCCATTTTCCTTTTGCAATTCACTTCACTTTATCCTTTACACTTATACACCCTATTCTACTTTCTTTACAATCAATTTTGACTTATACCTCAAAATGTTTCTTATTTTATAATATTATTTGACCTTTCTATTAACTATTGAATTCCTTGTGAATCCCACTTTAAATTTGACATTTTTCTGACATATTCCTGTAATTAATGTACAAATTTGTCTTTAAATCTTCTTCTTCTTCTTCATCATCATCTAGTGGTTGGTCCTTTAAAAGTCCCATAGCACTGCGGCCTATCTTTAAATCTTAATATCTTTTATTAATTCTACCTTATTTTTTAACTATTTAATAAAACTCTGACATTTTAACTTTTGTTTGATATCTACCACTTCTGCATTTTAATTAATTTCAACTATATTTTTCTTATAACATCTTAGCATATGCTCCACTTGACTAAAATAATAATAAATTTTATACTTGAAATTAAAATTTCTACTAATTTCTACTAATCCAACATTCTTCTACTGATTCCTAATACTTATTCAATACTAACAATTTTTTATTTATAATCAAATAATTTTCTTAATTTTATAATAACCATTTCAAACCATTCCATTACCATTACCGCTTTGTCTTTTAAATAGAAATTTAATTTAAATTTTAATTTACCCTCGTTAATCTGATTTCATCTCAATTTCCCAAATTTATTTGCAAATTTTATTATTATAATAAAATTTGTCAAATCAATTTCTATTATTTCATCTTTCAATATTTTCCCTATTTATTTTACCTTTTTCTTGTGCATACATGATATTGACTATGACTTTGCGTTAAAATTCTTAATATCTTTAACTTCCATTTTATAAACATAACTTGTAGCTACTCTCACTTCATTTGAAACCACTCCTTTCTACTTCTTTAACAAATCTCTTACCTATTTATCATAATTATCAATAACATTTATTTTAATATCATTTATATTCAATATATCATATTCTTCATTATAATAAAATCATTCTCACCGCAAAAAATTAACTTCTATCATTTCCCTATCTTTTTCCTTTCCAATCATTCCTTGTTCACTATCATTCATATTTATTACTTCACTTATTTCTTTGAAATCTACCCATATATCATTTATGCACAACTTTCTATTTTCATAATCTAATTTGGCTTTGTATTTGTTTAAATAATCTGANCTTCAGAATACGTTAAAAGAGCTTAATAAGTTACTATATATTACTTCAAATATAACAAAATGTCGGAGATTTTGGTAAAAACTAACTTTTTTTTTCGCGACCTCCTCAGGAATACCCATCTCATCTCTATCGAAAGCACTGATTGCTCAAGACAACTGTTCTATTGTCCCCTCTCTTCTTCGAACGTTTCCATTTCTTTTATATTTCGTCAGTATGCGATAAACGATAAATTAATAATATTTCTGACATAATAAAATTTTAAACGATGTGTCTATTATCGCGCCAACTCTCCTTATGCATACGTGCGTCAACTCACCTTACAGTATAAGGTGAGTTGACGCAGCATCTTTTAACTAAATTTATTAGAGGAAATGTGTGAAATTGAGGTTAGAACTACTCAACTATTCATTATCTACAACAGAATCCTTGAAAACTTAATAAAAATATAACTTAACGTACCTGTATATTTTTTGACTCTAAACGATGTAAAAATATTTAGTGTAACCTCAATAAATTTAACAAAATACCCTGACTAACACCACTCAAATATAACTGTATTTGATACGTATATATGTGACGACATAATAAGAATTACCGGTGTTGTCAAATATACGCTATGAACAATGATTGTGCCAGAACGAGCAGTGCGTCATCTCACCTGATGCGTCATCTCTCCTAGATTTACCCTATATGAACAGTTTAATCTTGATTCAAACCTTTTCCATACTCTTAAAATAATGTAGCTTTGTGACAGTTTTATTGACAGTAATTAAATTTCAAACTCTCCATTTAATTTCCAAATAAGCATTAGATATGCCATTAATTTTTACACCAAATGAATATGTTGATATGTTACTTATTTATGGCAAGTGTCGAAAGAATTCCAGAGCAGCGGAACAATTGTATAGGGAAAGATTTTCTAATGTAGAACGAAAATTGCGTACTGGTTCATTTCCATACCCAAGAGGAGTTCAGCATGTACGTTTGGCAAGAGATGAAGAAAATACTATCAATATTTTTGTGTTTATAGCAGTCAATCCACATGCGTCTGTTCGTAATACTGCGGAAGAGATTGATATAAGCAAATCTTCGGTTCACCGAATTCTAGCAAATAATAGACGGCATCCTTACAAATTATCTTTGGTTCAAAATTTAAGACCTAATGATTACAACAGACGTCTGGAGTATATTGCCTATGTTATGGTTCAGTTACATGACGACCCTCAGTTCCTCCATAAAATTATGTGGACCGATGAAGTACGTTTTCACAATAATTATATGGTTAATCGGCATAATAGTCATTACTGGTTTGTTGAAAATCCTCACTGGGTCAGAGAAACCCATTTTAAATCCATTTGGGGAAGTAATGTGTGGTGCGGCGTATTTAATGGACGATTAATTGGACTATACTTTTGTCAAGGTACTCTGACTGGTGATAAATATTTGTCCTTTTTAAGAGATGTTGTTCCCGATCCTATTGAAGAAATTCCATTAAATCCTTACTATGTGGTGGCAGCAAGACGGAGCCCCACCTCATAACTCGCATGTTGTAACGCATTTTTTGACTGAAAGATTTGGAGGGAACTGGATTGGTAATCAGGGACCTGTTAGATGGCCTGCAGAGTCCTCCCGATTTTTATCTGTGGGGACATTTAAAGCAAGTTGTGTACGCTGAAAAACCCAATAATGTTGAAGATCTATAGAATAAAATCACTCGTGCTTGCCGTTAAATATCTCCAGAAGTTATACAGTCTTCTTGTACACACTTTTCAGTAGGTATGAATTGTGTCAAAATGAAAATGACAATTTGAGCACATTTTATAATAGCTATAATGTTCTTTATTTTGTATTATTCATGAGAGTAGTTATTAAAATAATGTTACTCCAAATATGTTTTCTTCATTATCTCAAGAACGGTTAATGATAGGTATAGAAGATGGTTAATCAAATATGTTCAGAAATAAAAGGAGAACCCAAAAAAAAAAAAATTGAAGTTCCGCACTATATCATCTTTTTGAGACACACTGTATATTTTAAAATAAAGTGATTAAACGCATCTTTTTAAGCAGAAATCCTTTTCTATATAATATTTCTTTCTATCTCGACTAGTTTCCGAGATAATGCCTGTCAAGATAGCTCTGGGACACCCTGTATAATAAAAGAATTAAAAATTAAATTCTGTTACAATAAAATAGGTATATTTCTTGTAGAATTATACGATAATATCTATATTCTAAACATAGTACAACATATTTTTCACAAATAGGGACACCTCTAAGTTATGTCAAATTTTCGTATATTATTTAGAAATATAAATGTACATTACATGTACATTATGATTATTTTTACATTTGGAAGGTATTACCTACAATTTATAAATTTCGGTTGTAACAAAGTTGTAACCCTCTATTCTCGCCCAGCCTTTCTTCGCCCGCCAAGCGGAGACATTTCTTGGCTCGTTGTCTCAGACCTGCCGCTCCCACTTATAACTGTCTATGCGCACTAGGCGTTGGTTACCCTCCCGCCTTATGACTTCAGACGCTCCTTCTAAGTTCCCTAGCTTAATTAATTGATTTGGTTTTGTTACTTTTTTATTTTATTT